CCCAATGTTATATGCCTCGGTTGCACAGTAAACATGTGATTGTATAGAATGAAATGGAAATAAAAAAGACTTGAGACAGTTGATTTTAAGGAAACCACCGGAGCATCCACCTCGGGCAGTTTCAGCACGTCTTCCATCTTACTCTCCATGGAATAAAGGGATTTATCCCCTCCGCTAGGATTGGTCAAGGTACCAGGCTGAACCTACTGCCTCTGGACCACGTCCAGGAATAGATCTGGAATTGGAATTAACTCCTGAGTGGGGGCGGTCTCTTTGAACAAACCCTCTTTGGGATCCTTGGTTGAAGAGGATGCAGCAGCTGTCCCCTTAGGTGTAGAACCCAAGTCGGTAGCTGCCTTGGCCTTATGTAAAATAGATTTAAACAATGATGGCTTGAACAAGCTGGTAAAGGCTGGCTTGTCAGGAGGTAAATCCTCAACCTCCGACAGCTCAAAACTTCCAGCCTCCTCCTCTTCCTCCCAAACTGACTCCTCCGTGGCAACTGAGGTGCCCAGAGAGGCCAGAGCCCAAACCTGAGTGGAACCTGAGGCCAACTTAGACTTGGGGGGCCCAGATGTCCCCGTCTCTCTGTGTTTAATGCCCTCAGCGATCCCTTGGGATATGGCAATGAAGAAGACCTTCCTCATCTTCGCTGATAATGCCGGATTTTTGTCCTCCCTAGGTCTTGGCCTAAATAGACCAGACCCGCTCCTGTGCCTCCCTGAGTTGGGCCTCTCCCCTGCACCCCCAGACTTTTCCTCTATCAGGGAACGGATCTTCTGCCTTGGAAGGAGTGGGAGTCCTGTACTTCCCCATGCCACAGGGGCGAGCCCAACTCATGGCCCACAGGCACCGGAGACCTTTGTGGTTGCGGAGCCTTGGCCACAACGGCCCCTGCTGGTCAGGAGCCCTCACTGGCACTATCACCAGCCCCAGAGGTCCCAGGGAGGCCTTCTTACTGGCACCCTTCCCTCCTTTACTTCCCTTTGATGGAGGGTTTAGCTTGCTGCGTTTGGCGGAGCAGCTGGGCACTGGGCACCTAGCCAGCTGGCTAAAGTGTGCCCGCAGATCAAATGGGGAGGAGAGGGCCGCCCGAGAGTCAGATTCCCTCCTCCTGCTGCCCTCAGAAGCTCCGAGTGGTGGGGAACAGGAAAGCAGGCCTGGCTGGCGCCCCGGACAAGGCCCGCATTCCTCAGTGGCGGTCTGTAACTGAGGGGCTGAGAATGGTCTTCTTCCTCGCTCTGAAGGCGCACAAATGCCTCCTCCGTCCACGAGGTTCCTAAAAATGGCAGCCAAGCATATGAACTACAATAATGGCCGCCGCCTCTACAGGCAAGGAGAGCACCGCTGCCCTTGTCGGACTGCTCAGGCGCACTGCGCGAGCTCTGCAACGGCCCGATGGGACTCAACGTGGGGCGGGAAGCCTCCCACTGTCCCCTTGCTCACCGGCCACTGCCAGACAAGTGACTCTCGTTCCCCGCTCCACGTGCGACCAGCGGGCGAAGAAATGGCCCAGAGCCCTCTCAGCACTCAAATTAGCTGTAAATCGATCTTCCGATCCTTGTAGGAAACTTGAATGAAAAAACTTAAGGCAAAAACTAATTTAAACTAATTTAGACTATTTTAAACAGTATGCGGAATCCAGTTATCTGCCCCAAGGCTGGAGTGCTCCCCAGAACAGTCCAAACGGGCGGACTGAGTTTTTTAAACTGAATAATGGAGGCAAAGGGAGGTGAGGGCAAGAGAAAAAACTCACTCAGTCCTAGGGCAGATACACTGTGTTAACCCACGCTTGGACTCTCCAAGTAGCACACTGGAGAATATCTGATCTGCAGGATGTATTTTCATTATTACAAATTGAACATAATTAAAGCATAGTGATTAATTTGCGAATCTTGGTTTGGGAGAAGATCAGCCAGGCTGGGATTTTCCAGGATAAAACAACCTCCCTGCCTGCTGATAGCAGCAGTTTGTGGTTTA